ATGCCAAGACATGACTAGTAATGACTGCCTTTTTTTTAGAAGGTATTCTTTGTTATTGTTTACAAGATAAACGTTTTCTGTGTTGTGTTGCTGATTGTCTCCATTTGTATTCAAAACAAACAAGGATTGTGTGGGTCAATGTTGCGTATTAGATTTTATCACTCTTATTAATTAACTTGTTTTGGAGAGCAACATAGCCACAGATCAAGTGCAAGTATGCAGGTAAATTTATTGTGATGCTGATGTAAAACAATCACATCTGATCTGATGCAGAACTCTTTTAATCTGACTACCTTTATAAATTACACTGCATTGACATTGAAAGCTGCTGACAGTAAATCAACTGTGAACAGTAATATTGATTACACTTTGGGTACATGCAGGGGCACGTAACAGAAATGATAACTACATATAAAAAGGACTTAATGTGGCATATGTGGAGTGCCAATAACTTTTACTTATAGGAATTATTTTCATGATTACTGCAGTTTTAAAGCTTAATTTCAACTTTTTTCTACATCATTACAGTAGAAGAATAATCCGTTATATACGTGAAACATGTACATGTCATTGATTGTAGTATGTGCTGAGTCTACAAAAGATTTTGTATGTCTAGTTGGGGTGTGAAGTCTTTAAATCCAAAATGGAGATACACAGTAAAGCCTTCTCAGCTTGAACCCAGACATTTCTTTAGGTTCTCTACTTCTCTCTTCTTAATGCTGTAAAGTCCCTCAACGAACCTGTATTTTTGCTGCTAAGCAGAGAAAACAAATACATTCTTGAGGGTTGTACCTGCACCCTAGCCAGATTTGCATGTTGGTTGTCTCTCTGGTTTACTTGCAGGACTGTTTTGGCAGGTACCTGACCTGCTCACTCAGGTTTGGCAGATGATGGTAAGAGTTGTTTATAGTGTAGTGGTGGTAAGTATTCTGCCAGAGTTTGGGAAAGCCAAGTCAAAATGCCTCCTCTGCCTCAATCTTTCACATCTTGCAAGAATGCCAGTGCCCTAATAGCTTGGAACTATTATCAAATAAATGCCCTGATGGGTACATTTTAAATTCCAGCCTAGGTTCCTATTCAGAGACTACCTATATATGCTAGAGACCAGCCAGACAACCCAGCATTTCCTGCACAGCACAACATCTGTCTCCCCAGCCTGACTGATGGATACACTTCGGCCTCTGAAAGCCTCACACCTGTCCTTCTTGGCCTGGCCCGTACACTGAAATTTCAATATTTGATTTCTCTTGAAAGCATACCTGAAGAAGGCAACAAGGCCACCCCATACTTTCTGTACTGGTCCCTTCTTCCTCCTCAAAGCAGCTCTACAAGAGAAAGGAGGAAGAAAAAAAAAAAAAAAAAAAAAAAAAAAAAAAGAAGCAGGAGTCATGGGACAAAGAGGAAAGAAGAGATTGAGTGATTGAGTGGAATCATAATGGGTAAGGTTTCTAATCTTAATTTTGACCTTTAATTCCGAGACTGTTTACATTGTCCAGTAAGTATGTAAGAAGTCTGCAGAGGAGCAAGGGCTGTGTTTTCTAATTAGTGGTTTTTATCTTTTAGGCTGTCCTTTGGTGTGTCCCTTGCTGCCATTACCATACAAGTGTTTTACAGAGAGCAGAACAGTTTCAACAGGTGAGATTGCCAAAACTCTTAAATAGCCTGCAGGCAAATTAGTGATATATTTGACTAGAAAG